TTTATTTACACGAAAGAGACAACGATAAATATGCATTGGTTCGAAATTATTTGAAACAACGGGGAATATAGCATAAAGAAGCATTACATGAGACACAAAATACAAAACAGATGAACATCTTATAAAACCATGCTGCCCCTTTTCTGCCCACCACGTGGCAGCCTTCATTGCCTCCCATTTCACTCAAAACAACGACATTTTGAGAAATTGGAACCTGCTGGTTTACATATCAAATTCTAGTGGCTTTGATTTCAATTGATGACGAGTACACAACGACATTTTTTCCTTGACAGTTGATGACGAGTACATCATAATTGGGTCGGCCAACATTAATCAGAGGTCCATGGATGGGCCAGAGACTCGAAGATTGCAATGGGTACCAGCCCTACCACTTGGCGACCAGCCAGCCTGCCAGAGGGCAGCTCCATAGATTCCGGATGACAACCAACACATTGGCATGATCGACAACTCCTTCATCCACCCAGAGAGTGATAAATATATGGCCAAAGTGAATAGTATATCTATCCGACAAATACTGGGACATTTACACGTATTTATTCTCCAAATACTTACTTTTTGTTTCTTTTATGTCAATCTATTAGGTTATGTTACTGATTTTAGATAAATGCATTATGCTAGAGCTTGCTTCAGGATCTCCGATTTCATTGCCATCACGCAATGTTCCGGGGGCGTAAGTGGTTTCACCTCCATCTATGATATGTGTTGGTTTTCACTATCCATGAATTTAGGAAAAACACAATTGAGCTTCACCTGAGAAAATCTCATAGTATCATGTCTATCGAAGTTTATGTATTTATTTATTTTTTAATTTGAGTTGTTATCATGGTTTGTTGAATTAAATTGTGCAGTACAAGGGTCTGCTCGTGTCTCGCTGTAATTTTCAGCGCATAATTGACTGATAATATGAGGAACATTGAGAATGATCTGAAGCAAATCTCAATGGCCATGATGTAAGCTCCAAATTTTATTTCACAGATGTTTTTGAAAATGAATTAGTATCTGTTACCTTGCATCTTGTATTTTAGCAATCGATAAATTGTTAATTGTCTTATGAATGGAAATAAGGACATAGGTTACAAATCAGTATGTTATTGTGTAATAAAATAGAAAATAGTTTATAAGATACTATATAATAAGTTGGAACATAGATACTTGCTTACTTAGGAGCATAGTTTTATGTCTTGTAAACACTTTAAAAAAACTGTGCTGTTAAAGATCGTATAAAAGTTTTTGTGTGCGAATGAGCGACCTCCGATTAACACTTTTATTTTGTGGAAAAAGAAGGAAAACTTTTCTTACAAATAATATTTGTTTCTCCTATATAATGGAAATGCAAATCTTTGCATTATGCTTTCATCAAGGTTTTCGTTTGGATAACAACAATGTTGGTAAAGCTATTGGATTGTGTGTCATATCCACACCGGATTGTGTCATATACTGAATAAAACATCGAAAGCCAGCTTGATGTATTTTTTGTTTTCACATTCCTAACGCTAGCTACTTCAACCTTTGGTTTCTCCCCTTTTGTTAAAATAAAAGTGCAGCTGGTTAAATAAAATCATTAAAGAACCTAAGATCTATGTCACATTAAAGTATTTGATTGATTGAAAAATGTGTATGTTTTAGCAATCCCCTTCTTAGTGCTAATTAGTAACTTTGGTAGCTTGTCAAGTGAAAGGATGATAGTCGTGTATGTACAGTACGCGCTCGTTTATGTCGTTGCTCCTATTTTCTTATTTTTATTTTCTCCAAATGCAGGATAATCATCTATCAAGTCAAATGAAGAATTTTTACACATATTACCCAAACAAAATTCTGCTCAAATGAAGAATTTGTGCAGATATTCCCAAACAAACTTCTCCCTTATCTTTCCCCAAATCTTCGAGCGCCAGCGTTATTGAGAAGATGAAGCCATCAAAATGATGCTAATGTTTGGTAAGGTTGTATATATGGGGAGCCTGTGATATGGAAATTACGGTGCTGAGAAATTTTAATTGTTCCATCTTTGGTTTCTGCCCAATTTTTGTGTACGCGGATGGAGTCTATGATACGTGTATTTTGGTCACCCTGGATCTCTTCAATAGGCCAAGAAGTTGTACAGTATTTTTGGGTGTGGTTTTGATTTCACTTTCTGTATCATTTACTTTTTGTTTTGTTTATTTTGGTTTTTGGGTAGGGTTAATATTATGTTTCATAGTCAAAAGATGCTAGATTTTATGTTTGTCTTATTCTTTCTTTACTTTTGAAGATTATTTTTGGTTCTCTCGACATTCCCCCTTTGGCTATAGAAATGAAGAAGGATGTTCATGAACGGTTTCTCCAAGCGTGCTATTCAATGGTTGGTTGCTCGATCACTTAACGTTTTAGTCAGTTAACCAAGCAAAAAAGGGATCAATCAAGACAAACGGAACTTGGTTGAGTAAGTTTAACGTTCTTTTTTTTTTTTTT